TCCAGGAAGAAGCCCTGGGCTCCACCACCACCTCCGTCGTCATGAGACCTTCCAGGAAGAAGCCTTGGGCTCCACCACCTCCCCCGTCGTCATGAGAACTTCCAGGAAGAAGCCCCGGGCTCCACCACCACCACCGTCGTCAGAGAACTTCCAGGAAGAAGCCCTGGGCTCCACCTGCGTCGTCATGAGACCTTCCAGGAAGAAGCCCTAGGCTCCACCACCACCCCGTCGTCATGAGAACTTCCAGGAAGACGCCCTGGGCTCCACCACCACCCCCGTCGTCATGAGACTTTCCAGGAAGAAGCCCTGGGCTCCACCACCACCCCCGTCGTCATGAGACCTTCCAGGAAGAAGCCCTGGGCTCCACCACCACCCCCGTCGTCATGAGACCTTGCAAGAAGAAGCCCTGGGCTCCACCACCACCACCGTCGTCAGAGAACTTCCAGGAAGAAGCCCTGGTCTCCACCACCACCACCGTCGTCATGAGAAATTCCAGGAACAAGCACTGTCCACCTACTTCCCCAAAAGCCGTCACATAACCCAAATATACGTGAAACAACTCTCTAATTAGCTGGAGTATTTTTACTGAGAACGTACACTAAATGTTCCCTTTGTGTCACTCGGCGAACGTTCGGCTGGCACCCTGCGCTCAATAAACGTTCCCTTGGTACAATACGCTCAATAAATATTCCCCATACGCTCAATGAACGTTCCCCATGCGCTCAATGAAGGTTACTTTAGTACCAACCGGTCAATAAACGTTCCCATGTATTCAATGCACTTTCTCTTAGTGTCATGCGCTCATTGAACGTTCATTCGTTGCCACGCGTTGAATGAGCGTTCTCTAAGTACCATGAGTTCAGTGAACGTTCTGCAAGTGTTGTGTCTACCTCTTAGAAGAGCTGCTTCACACAGCTGCCCGTATTGCGTAAGGCGACCAGACACACCCCTCCAGCGTCATGAGAAACATCATCTATGACCAACGAATAATGGGGTTCAATTCACGGACCCAATACGTGCCTCTTTTAACCTTTTCTACTACTTCCCACACCATTGGTATGGGGAGAGGGGGCACTACCACCCACAGAATGGGTATAGGGGGTTCACTATCGCCCATAAGATGGGTATGGAGATCCACTACCCCCACAGGATGGGTATGGAGATCCACTACCGCCCACAGGATGGGTATGGGAGCCACTACCCCCCCCCCCACACAGGATGGGTAGGGGAGCCACTACCGCCCTCAGGATGGGTATGGGAGCCACTAACCCCCCCCCCCCACAGGATGGGTAGGGGAGCCACTATTGGATGAGCTAAATAACAGTGGTCTTCGTAATCATAGCATCAGAGTAGTCAAAGATCTTACACTGAGGCGAATAGAAGATTTTTTTTATTGTTGCCGCCGGAGGCGGCTAGCTTATTGTGCACCCTATACTCATCCTTTGAGCGGTAGCGCAAAAAGCATTACAGAGGCCACAAAAAGTCTTTTATAGAAGGTGGTGAAGCTTCTTCTCTTTTAATCAGGTAACTGAGCAGAGCTCTCGATGGATTCTGTGGTACAATAGTCTACGTCCTCGACTCACAACCTTGAATCCCGGATTCGATCCCCTGGCGGGACAGAAATGACTGGGCACGTTTCCTTTCACCTGCTGCGACTGTTCACCTAACATTATAAAAGCTACCCCCCCGGGAGCAAGGCAACTGTTGTGGGTTTCATCCCGGGAACAGTTAGTAGTTGACTGAGGGAGACTTCGACAAGCCTCTGATCCCAGAAATTAGGTTTAATTATAAAAAATAATAACCTGAATATTGGAAACATAAAAGCTTATATATTTGCCTCTGATCTGGAGAAAATATTATTGGTATTGTAATGAATTGGAGTAATCACATTACTAAATACTGATTTTTGTATTAATTTTGTATTAATTTTTGTATTAATTTTGTATTAATTTTTGTATTAATTTGGTATTAATTTTTGTATTAATTTTGTATTAATTTTTGTATTAATTTTTGTATTAATATTGTAATAATTTTGTAATAATTTTTGTATTAATTTTGTAATTGTATTGTATTAATTTTGTTATTGTATTCGGTATATATTGATTTTGCAACAAATGTAAGTCATCAAATTCGGTAAATATTGATTATACAATCAATTTGAGTCATCACATTAATCGGATCCTATAATCTCCATCAATCTGTATAATTATATTCAGTAGTTCAAGTTTTCCCGTCAGTTTGAGTAATTACAGTTGCCTGAGTCTGTCATTTATTAATACAATCCAGACTGAAACGCATTTAGTGAGGATAATCACTCTCCCACATGAATCTGTTCCTTTGTAGACTAACTGGTTCTTTCGGCGGATTCTGACAGTTGTAAACAAACCGGTTTACGAGGGCAAAGTATGAATAACTGCGCAGGCCTCAGGTTTCTGACTCGATGTTTAACCAATTAGCTTTGACTGTCTAAGACAGGCACTGGCGATCACCCACACATTAGACAGTCACAGCTATACTATAGCAGATTATGTTTGTCTGAGACAGACACAAGAGAGATAGAGACTGAGTCAGACAGACAGACAGACAGACAGACAAACAGACAGACATAGACAGATGAGTGTATAGATAGGAAGATGGAAGAGACACAGACTCTGCAACGCCAGGATCTGGCTAGCTATATATATATATATATATATATATATATATATATATATATATATATATATATATATATATATATCCTCCATAGGGTTGACTAGTTAGCTTGCGGTTACACAAAACCACCTCATAATTGACGTTGATCAAGTCATATTGCCAAATTTATCATATCAGCAAAACGATAAATTTCTAAATTAAAAATATAAATTTTATTAATTTAATAACACAGTAATAACAATTGTAATAACACTGATAATATTACCAATGATATTGATGATAATATTGCTGGAAAGATTACAATTAATACTGTTATTTTAATAAATTACAGTAAAATAAAAATAAACAAAATACATCAAAATATTTATATGCGAAATACAGTAAAAAAAAAAATTAAACAATAAATCAAAGCAATAATCATCAGACAGGCTTCTCCAGCTCAACTAAACCCCCAAACACTAATAAATACATTGGAGATACAAAATAAAACTTCCAAATTATACACCCACAATCATTCATGCAAAATACAGTAATAAAGCGAGGCAATAATTTACTGCCGAGTAGAGGCAGCACGGAACTCGTTATGGCAACACTCGCGCCAGAGCACGCTCCTGCCATCTATTGGGGGAAACTGTAACCTCTGGCTGCATAGTCCCGCTCGACCTTACCTATCTCTTACCTAAATCTAATCCTTATCTAAACCTACCCTTACCTAAACCTACCCTTATCTAAACGTACTCTTATCTAAACCTACCCTTACCTAAACTTACCCTTACCTAAACCTACCCTTACCTAAACCTACCCTTACCTAACCTAACCTTACCTAACCTTACCAAACCTTACCTAACCTAACCTACCCTTACCTAACCCAACCTTACATAACCTTACCTGAACCTACCCTTACCTAAACCTACCTAACCTAACCTACCCTTACCTAACCTTACCTAAACTTACCTAAACCTACCTAACCTAACCAAGCCTTACCTCACTTCACCTCAACTCCTAATCTGCTGGACCATACCGATAATTAAGACTTAAGGCACTGTATAACATCCCACCTCCCCCGTAGGTAGACTTATTTTCTGATTGCTTATGTCTCAAACGTATAAAAAATGTCTATTATTTCCCCCTTGATGTGATGTGGCTGGTGTGTGAGGGATGTGGCTGGTGTGTGAGGGATGTGGCTGGTGTGTGAGGGATGTGGCTGGTGTGTGAGGGATGTGGCTGGTGTGTGAGGGATGTGGCTGGTGTGTGAGGGATGTGGCTGGTGTGTGAGGGATGTGGCTGGTGTGTGAGGGATGTGGCTGGTGTGTGAAGGATGTGGCATGTCTCTCCCGGCGGCACTTTCCCGTGGTCTAACACCTCATGGTGCCATACCCTGGCACTGTGACCACTCTTCATGCCATACTCTCTCATCCATACATATAACAATGCAGTGATCTCCTGTTGTACGTATGGATCATTGATAGCCCTCTGCACGAATTGATCAATACTTACGTACTGGTCTGCACGTACGGTCCAGGAGCATGGCATTGACGCTCCTGCGTCACGTGTGTTCCCCCTGCGTCATGTGTTCTCTCCCTGCGTCATGTGTTCTCCCCCTTGCGTCATGTGCGTTACCCGCTATATCATAAATGTGTTATTGTCCTTAGATTCCCCAAAGACAGTGTAATTATGAAGAAGTTTCATTCCCTAGACTCCCCAGACTCAAACACAGCCAGCAAACACCTTCCAAACCTTCAAGTAAGCATGTTTTAAGCTTGGGTAGTGGAGAGCTTTCCCTTCCCCATTACTCAGGATCAGCCTTACCCATTAGTTTCCCCTGGAACACGATCCGCCAGTAGGTTAACAACAAGGTACCCTATTCCTGCTGGGTGAACAGAGGTTATCAATAGATGGGTAGGTTTGTAAGTGTATATAAGTGTTCATTCATTTTGTTTGGGAAGGGAATAGACGTTTGTAAGTTAAAAGTTTGTTTCAATTTCTAATTTTTTACATAATTTTTTTAATGCGCCAAGAGTATAAAGCAAGGTATAAGAACCACATTTCACGTGCCCTCTGTATTTGCATGAGTATGGCTATGTATGTTGTATGAATGTATGTTTCGTTCACAGTATTAGTGTACATAATGCTCACTTATCTAACATTTATTACGCTCACATCTTACATTATGTACACTCATACATCATACATCATGTACATACATCATACATCATGTACACATTTCATACATCATGTACATTCATACATCATGTACACACATCATACGTATGGGTGTATGAGCGGTGTCCCCCACCCCCTCCCTGGGAAGACTTCCCTTCAAGACGTGAGGCGAGACGACTTACCTGGTTGTGCTGGAACATCCGTCCATCCTGACAGCTGCCACTCTGACGCCTGTGGCCCTCACTTGGGCACTCCCTCCGGCGGTGCCATCCTTACGAACCCCTCTGAGGGCCGGTGTGTTCTTGAGAGCCCCTCCCTCTGAGGGCTGGTGTGTTCTTCAGAGCCCTTGAAGGGCTGGAGCGTTCTTTAGAGCTCCTTGAAGGGCTGGAGCGTTCTTTAGAGATCCTTGAAGGGCTGGAGCGTTTTCTAGAGCCCCTTGAAGGGCTGGAGCGTTCTTTAGAGCTCCTTGAAGGGCTGGAGCGTTCTTTAGAGCTCCTTGAAGGGCTTGAGCGTTCTTTAGAGCCCCTTGAAGGGCTGGAGCGTTTTCTAGAGCCCCTTGATGGGCTGGAGCGTTCTTTAGAGCCCCTTGAAAGGCTGGAGCGTTCTTTAGAACCCCTTGAAGAGCTGGAGCGTTCTTTTGAGCCCCTTGAAGGGCTGGAGCGTTCTTTAGAGCCCCTTGATGGGCTGGAGCGTTCTTTTGAGCCCCTTGAAGGGCTGGAGCGTTCTTTTGAGCCCCTTGAAGGGCTGGAGCGTTCTTTGGAGCCCCCTTGAAGGGCTGGAGCGTTCTTTAGAGCCCCTAGAAAGGCTCCGGTGTTCGTAAGGACTGCGCAAGGGCTAGGGTGATGTTATGAAGCCCCAGTTCTCTGGGACGGTGTTCTTGAAAACCCCCAGGAGCGCTGGGGTGATCCTATTAAACCCCAGGAAGGCTGGGGTGTCCTTCAGAACCCTCTGTGGGGACAAGTGTGTCTTACAATCTCCTTTGAGATAAAATTAAGCGTCACGAATCTCGGAAGACAGATGTTGACTTACGATTAGGAAGAGAGCTTACAGCATCTTCGCTGACCAGGAGCCTTCTGTTGATGTGCTTTAAAGCGCTTCTCTGCGTAAACAACTTGATTTCACTGGTAGGCGAGGTGCGCATACCGTCAGGCATATATTGGCACTCCTAATTTCTCAGTGGTTTAAGATGTTTGGGGTCAACTCTATCACGAGTGCCAGCATGGGAGAGGCGACCTGTTCCGGCGTCCGAGACACACTTCTGAAGGGGAACATGGTGTGTTGTTATAGTGTCTGGTTCCTGTGGCTGCTCTTCTTAGTAAGAATGTTTCTTTTTCCTTATATTATTCTTGAGCTCTCCAGGAAGACGTTGTGTTTGTGTCTGTCTTTCATGCAAATTACTTCCGCGTTTTCTATGAGAGGTTTCGTGGACCTTTCTTTCACGGTAGATGCTTCATTCTACTAGTTCAGGAACTAGTTCCCTCCTACTAGTTCAGGGACTTGTTCCCTCACTCGTCCTCTGGCTGACGTGAACAACACGTCCCTAAGCTTCACTATGAAGATCACTTCACCATAGTTCTATGCCATCATAACACCATCAATTGCTCGCTATTGTACCTAATTTGCTGGTCTCGCATTAATAAAAAGCAACCTTCTATAATTTATTTTTTGGGATATAAAGGCTGACTTCAATTTGCTATAAGTTTTTTTTTTCCCAGTGACTTTTCTAAGTGGTATATTTACTTGTACATATAATTAAAACCATCAAACACACACATGTTCAACACACGAATCACAACACTCATCATTTTGGCACATATTGTATGGCACGTTAAGGATTAGTTTTCATTAACACTATTCACTCACTGGCGGTCGCAGTTAGGTCCCCCTCTATGTGGTAACACTCGCTAAACAGTTCCGGGGTCATCCGAGGTCACAGATCATCCTAAAGTAACCTTGGGGTCACCATACAACTGGAGCTCTGAGGTCAGGAGAGTCCAGTTTGTAAACAAACTCCTCTCCGAAAATTACAGGGTTGTTTAAGAATGATTGAAGGACCCACTGGTTGATTCTCAGCAAAGTAGCTAATTAGAGCCAAGTTTTCCCAGAAATTATTTACAAACGAGTTTCTCGAGACAGGATATATAATGTCGCTTGGGAGATCAATAGTGAAGTCGTGTAAACTAATTATTATTTCTGAGGGAGATTATCTGTTGATGGTTGAGGTTGTGTTGACGCGAGGAGGTGCCGGCGAGCGAGTGAGGGAGGTGGAGCGGGTGAGGAGCGCCGGTCCTCCCTCCAGGCACAGTGCCACACTACTGAACGCCTCACAATGCCAACACCCAACCTGCTCCCCGCGAGTGCCACACGCCACCACTGACACACACACACAGGTCATAGGTTTAATTGTATCTGGTGAGAACTTTAGTGGATCCCAAAGGTCGTGGCCTCACATAAGTCTTTGTTGCTCACGAGCTCAAACGTCATTAAACGATCTTCAAAAGAATTAGATAAAAAAATGCATGTCATATGAGGAAAAAAGACAAATGATATATATAAATGTAAATAACTACATAGAAATTAGGGGAAATATTGAGCACCTTCGTGTTGTATTGAGCAACAGGAAGGGGCTCAGATTGTCACAAATACTAACCTGCCGATGGTGCTATGAGAGAGAATGTGTTAGTACACGAAAGCGTTCAGATTTTTCCTTTCTCTTTCCTTCTGAATATTTATACATAACTGAATCGCGTTTTTGTATATAATTATATATGTTGTGTTTGTGTTGGTCAATTTTGCAATTGTTTTTGCACCATATTTGACATTTTTTTATATAATTTGGACCAAGCACTTGGTTAAAACTAGTTACATAATATACATACGAGAAAGCTGCAGGAACACGCAAGCCATAGATCACTAAGAACTCAAACTGACCCGGCCAGGATTCGAACTTAAGCCGCCCCAGGTCTTCCCACCAACAGCATCGGTATCATGACCACTTCACCGGCGGTCTGGTGATTATGTACAAGGAACAGAGATGACAGTCACTTCCATGTGGCTCCACGCGGACAATTAACATACAAGAGGAGATGAGCCGGTCTACCTAGGTCACCACTACAACAGGTGGGCTGACTTAACAAGGTCACACGAGACCATACAAGTAGTGGGCCGAATCTAAATTGAAATCAATACAAATACTTCATCACACGAAATAGTGTCCACCGATCAATGTATTCAATACATTAATTTATAATAAATCTGCAATATAATTTGCATTTGTTTATGCAACAAGATTCCACTGACATGGTAGAAATGGATAAGTTTGGATGAAACAATCTTGGTAATATACTTGAGTTAAAAGAAATAGTTAAGATAGGTACACTTAACTGCCCTCCGGGTCGTTAGAGCAGGCAGGCTTTCCACCTTGGAAGATAATTTTTCCTCGGAATAGGGTAATATAATATTAATTGTAATATTTAAAGTATACATAATATTAGGAATAGTTTCACAAATACCACTGTTGCTACTTCTACTGCAATAACTACTACAATAATTACTGCAACTACCACGTTAACTACTACAACTACAATACAACAACTACAACCATGCAAATAATTAAAACAACTACTAGAGCTAATAACAAGAGCCACATTACCGTTTCAGCTAATAACTGAACCCACGTTAATAGCTCTCTGGCATCAGTAGTTACCTCGCCTAACAACAATAACAACAACAACCCCCCCCCCCGCCCCCCATACGACGCTTTCGACAACATTTTGCGACATCAGTTCAAATCTCATCAGGCAGCAAGTCGCTCGGGATCTTGTATGTGGGGGGCATGTCTCCACAGAGCCTCGGCTTGGTTAGACCATTGTGTGTGATCTGTTTGGTTACCTGTACTTTAAGAAGTGCTCTTGGCTCCTGGAATATATAGGTTGTCTGTAAATGGTTCATTCCATTATAGCGTGTTAAAGCCTATACAGTTCGGGGAATAGCTTGTGGATTATTTGTGTTTGGAATATTATTACATTTTTGGCCTACCTGCTGAATATTTCATGTGACATTTGTGACATGTTTGACTGTTGGGTAATGCATTTTGTTAATTGGGCAGTGTTGTATAAACAACTTTTTGTATATATATATATATATATATATATATATATATATATATATATATATATATATATATATATATATTCTCCCTGAACTGAAATTAAATTTTATGATCACAGCCTTCAAATTAATGCTGGGAATTATCCAAAATATAATTGCTATGTAATTTTGTCAACAAATGTGTGCAATAAAATCATTGGTGTTTGTCCAGTTAATTTACTGCTACAGGTGTTTGGCTGACTAGCACATATATATTTGCTTAGGTATATATGTATATATATATATATATATATATATATATATATATATATATATATATATATATATATATATATATATATATATATATATATATATACCATGACACTTTTGGACATCTTGCATGATGTTCCATATCTCTCTCTCTCTCTCTCTCTCTCTCTCTGTCTCTCTCTCTGTCTCTCTCTCTGTCTCTCTCTCTGTCTCTCTCTCTCTCTCTCTCTCTCTCTCTCTCTCTCTCTCTCTCTCTCTCTCTCTCTCTCTCTGTCTCTCTCTCTCTCTCTCTCTGTCTCTCTCTCTCTCTCTGTCTCTCTCTCTCTCTCTCTCTCTCTCTCTCTCTCTCTCTCTCTCTCTCTCTCTCTCTCTCTCTCTCTCTCTCTCTCTCTCTCTCTCTCTCTCTCTCTCTCTCACACACACAGACACACACACACATTCACATACATATACACATGTATTTAATCATATACGTCTTTTATATATTTACAGGAGGTAGGCTTTTGTACAGTCTTCTTGTTTTTGTGAAGAAAACATTTTATGGCATTTAAAAATGCACGGATAAAACAAAAGAGTGAAATTGTAGCAATTCTCATTACCCTTTCCACTTGCTCCTGGCTCACAACTTTCCCTTTTCCTTTTCCACCACTCGCCCTCTTCCTCTCTTCTAGTCTGGCAAGTTCTCTCTTGCCTCTTCTTCGTCAGTCTGTCTGTGGCTGTTATTTCATCCGGTGCTTTTCCATCTCCCACTGGCAATGTTGTTTCTGTTCTCTCTCATATTCTCTTTTTATAGTTCCTTCCATTCTTGGTTTCATACTCCCGTTCCTCTCCCTACCTTTCCAACATTTCTCCCACTCGTTATCTCTCCCTCTTTATCTCTCTCTCCGGTATGTTCATATCCCAATCCCTTCTTTTCTATCCTTTCTTACCTTCATAAAAAATTCTCTCCTTAGGTCTTTCCCATCTTTATCCGTCCGTTTCCAAATTTCCCTCCCTGTTTCCCTCCCTCCTTCCGTCCCTCCTTCCCTCCCTCCTTCCCTCCCTCCTTCCCTCCCTCCTTCCCTCCCTCCCTAGCAAGGACCTGTAGCCCTGGTCATTACCAGCTCCTGACCAACGACCCAAGAACCTAAAAATCAGCATGAAGGTTTCTTCTTTAATCCTTGGATCGGACCAACCAGAAAAAATCGGGTAATTTTTGCTCTCTCGCTCGTATTCATGACATAAATCTGTCTGTCTTTCTCTTTCTCTCTCTCTCTTTCTCTCTCTCTCTCTCTCTCTCTCTCTCTCTCTCTCTCTCTCTCTCTCTCTCTCTCTCTCTCTTTCTCTTTCTCTTTCGAGTTCTTCCTCTCGCCCCAGAATGCATTCAGAGACATAAATGTTCCTCTGAATGCTATTATTTTCCATGAAGTTTATATCCAAAAGTGACAGTATTGATTGGGTGTATAATCAGGTATATCTAGGCTTAGGCTCGGAGTGTATGATTAGGATTAGGCTGGGTGTGTATGACTAGACGGCTGGGTGTGTATGGCTCGGAATACTTGATTAGTGAATATTATTGATCTAATTGCCTCCTTAGTTAGGTTTTTGAAGACTGTACATAGCCTTCGTGAGACCAGTTCTGGTGCCCACTACCTTTAAAATATAAGTGAGAAAGTGTGAAAAGTACAGAGATTTGTATCGATTCTCGACCCAAAATTGAAAGGGATAGAATGTGAATGTGAATGTGAAAGAGAATGAAAAGAGACATGATAGAGACATATGAAATACTTATAGGACGATTGCTAGAGTAGGAAATGAAATGTTTACAATGGATACCAATATACCAGGAAGGCATGGATGGAAGCACGAGAAACAGTTTAGCCACAGAGATGTGTAAGATATTCTTATAGCACAAGAGTAGTAGGAAAATGAAACTGCTCAACAAGCAGATTGCACAAGTGAACTCTGGTCATAACTTCAAAAGTAGGCATGATAGAAAAATAAGTGAGGCGTCATTACATTAGGCAATCCGTGACCCGGGTTGTGCTGCAGACACTAATAGTTGAGTACATGTAGGTGAGTACACACGCACGCACGCACACACACACACACACACACACACACACACACACACACACACACACACACACACACACACACACACACGGGAAAGAGTGTTGTGTGGGTGTCAAAAAAAAAATCAGAGTTTCTTTCACCTGATGCACCTACTCACCTAACAGTAAACAGGTGCCTAGGAACTAGACAGCTGCTACGGGCTACATCATTGGGATGTGTGTGTGTGTGTGTGTGTGTGTGTTAGAGAGATACATATGTGTTAGTAGATACATATATAGTAGATATGATAAGTAGATACGTGTGTGTTAGTAGATACATATATAGTAGATATGATAAGAGGAAAAGAGGTTAGGGGTCAGTACATTAAACAACCGACGGTTAGAAAGGCGGGGTCCAAGAGCGAACAGCTCGATCCTGCAGCCACAAATAGTAAGTACAGAACTACATGAGTGTCTCACCCATCACCCGAAGAACATATTCTCTATAATTCCGCAAACCCACATCACTATTTAGAAGAAACTGCAAAACAATAGCGAAAATCATTGCAAATTATTATTGCAGTCATCGAAGTAGAAAGACAACATGGCCGCCAGAGCCCGTTCGGATATCAAATAAAATACATCACTGGGCCTCGTTACGATCCGCGAACGACAAGACTTCCTCCTTCACGAACGCTCCCATTCGTTTCCCTTCCCCGGGCTCCAGAGGTAATTCCAGGAGCAAATATGTATGTATTAGTTTATACCTGGGTAAAAGAGCAGTGACAAGGCACGTGAGGGTAACATGTTGACCAAACCCCATACTAGAAAGTGAAGGGACGACGACGTTTCGGTCCGTCCTGGACCATTCTCAAGTCGATTGTGACTTGAGGGTAACATGTTCCTTTCC